CCAGTGACTCGTGCTAGACGCTAGACGCTCTAGTGACCAAATATACGGCGCTACACAAGCAAGCTGTGTGATTACATAATTCCACCTCATATCAATATCCAGCATTAATGGTTAAAGTGTCAGCCTACCCAAAGAAGTATTGGGCAGGTGAGCATTTCCACTGGCATTCCAGATTCAATCGTGAAAATTGCTATGCTGGGAGGCCAGTATATAATTATAACAGCTTCTTCAGTTCGCCACAACGCGGTGCTCATTTGATCATCCCTGAACGATTTGGTGTGATGAGTCGTCAACCGATATAATTGTATTCTAAACCTCCCAACTCTCCACTGAGCCCTCTCTTACCGGAGAGTCTGAAGCGTCCTATTGGGGAAGTTTGGGTTATTTACTTTCGTAAGCTTTTGTTTTCATTTGGAAGGAAATCAGAGGGCGTGGATAAATCCCGCGCAAACAAGGTGATAACAGCGGCGGCACCTTTTTTACGATTAAAATAAAAAGTTCAAGCTCGATGCAGATCCCAAGCCAAGTGTTGGGACGATCGGCCTGCAGTCTCAGGGTATCGCTCTAGTCATGACAATCGCCCATTGGCATCCCAATTTAATACGATTCGAGTGCTTCCACCAGTGACGTGGACTCACACCTAATGAAGATGAACAATTGTGAGGATAGGACCTTAATGCCTGTGCTACATCCCTCCTCCCCATAAGATACCTCGTGCTAAAGTGAGGCGAGTCAAAAGGCTTTGCGTGGGCCAAAAACAGAAGCATGACTTTTCAAAGTTGCCACCTGCGAGTGTGAATATGAAAGAGCAAACGCTAAATTAACGATATTTTTGCTTTTGCACCATTTAATAAAAAAAAACATCCGAGTTCACACAGACCAATCGGTCATTTGGAACAGAGACAATGGAAGTCTCCACAGATGCAACCTATCTCTGTAAAAGTTAGGAGTCGCACGTCGAAGACGCATCGGGTTATTACACTTGCAAACGCCTCTGGGATGTGGCAGAGGCGTTTGCATTGAAAATTCGCAGTGCAAGACATTCCCAGAATGGCCTCACGCCCTGACAGGCTGTAAATGCGGCTTAGTGAAAGAGACCCTTTAGTGGCGTTACAGCAAGAGAGGGTGAGTATGTGTGCTTCAGTGTCTGTGTGTGTGCGTTTGAATGTATGTGTATGTCAGCGTATTTATGTGTGGGGAGTGATGGCGCGGTGGTTAGCGTGCTGCGCTACGCACCCGCCGACCTAGGTTTGATTCCCGCTCACAACCAACACCGGTGATGATTTTATCTGAACCGGCTCTGGGCCTCCCCTAGGTCGACTCGGCATCAAATGTTACACATCAGCAGGAGAGAGACAATGGCGGCCGGGCGTGTTGCCGGCCACCTAATCGCCTCGTGTGCCGTGCCGCCCTTCACAGGTGCTGCTCGCTGACAGCACTTGCCCCATCAGCCTGTTAAGGGTACACGGGGGATCTTTGCCTTGCGTGCGGGTGTGAGAAGAGTCTCCACATGGCGACTGCTGAGGAATCTCGCGTGAATGTGATGGCTCCTTGGTGTGACGCGTCACACTCACAACCCTCTCGCAACGCGCACAGCCACACACAGCTCCACAAGCCCGTGCCCAGGACAAGTAAACGCACGGTGACGTGGCCTTGCGGTTGTAGAGGTTTCGCGGTTCGAATCCAAGGGGCCTCCCTGGTTATTGCCGCCGGTGCAAATAACCCTAAAATAATTACGAGTCCGCTCAGAGTGGGACGTTAACGATCCCCGTGGCGTCATTGGCAAGAGGGCGGACCATTCTCTGCCGGCATCAGGCTCTACATTTTGCCAAAAAGTAGAAAATTACCACACCTCCGCAAGTTATTCTATTGGGATGCATAAATACAGACGCGGGGGGGGGGAGGTCTCTCATGAGACTCATCCCTGGTCTCTGGAGTTTAAATAAACTTGAAGAAAACAAGAAACGACGCCGTGGGTTGTGTTGAACGCACGGTGCCTTCTCTCCATTGTTGGGACGTGGCGGCGCGGGGATTCCATGTGGTCACGGTAGCCCGGCTCGAGTCACCACCCCGCTGGAGGGTTTCAACGGCAGGGAAAGATCATAACAAAGATGACGACGCGACCCCATTCAACCTCCGCTCATCGTCAGCATTAACATTGCCGGCCGTGGTTAATCCACCGCGGGATGAAGTCCTCCGCCAGCTGTAACCCCAGAGTTGAATGAGCATTAATATTAGCAATACGCTCCATGCTATTATCAAACGTGCTTTTCAAACAGGCACGCAGGCTAATCAATGTATAGATCGCCCCGTTGGTTTTTACATCGACCCTCTGACTTGTTTTGCACAAGTTAAAAGAGCGGCAGCTTGACGTCTCCACGAGAGAAGCGTGTTAACAGATGTACTACGGAGATTGGAATTAGTGGGAGAGGCGTAGCGGCATCGAAATCAAACGTTCTTTCATCTGTACAGTCTCCAATTATTCGTTTAATGAGGCATCTATAAACGGATCGTTCCCGTGTACACATTGGTAAAGTGTTCCCATCGAGGAGGACGTGCTGAACGCAATGGCGTCGTCGTGATGCTGTGATGTCCTCAATGTGGTGATGCTAGAATGGGAGAGTTTTTGGAGCACTGGATGTGTGGTGGTCCAGGCTTTTGGAATCGGGTTGGGGAGGGGGGGTTGGTGGATCACTCAGAGATAATCGTGGGCTGTGCGAGGTGACCAGGAGGTGGCGGTACAGCGAGTTGAGCAATTTTCAGCCTTTGCTCCCTCATCCGTGCAAGTCGGGATTTTCTCCGCGCGCCTCTGGTCCGCTGGCCGACGCAATGCAGATAAGTCGCGCGTGGACGTTGCAGCTCCGAGTGTCTCCTCGCTTCAAACGAGCCGCGGCGGATGTCCCACAGCAGTCGAGAGGTGGCCGGTCGGCTTCCCACTCATTGAACGGACCTCTGAAGGATGCTCACCGCCGAGTAGACGGTGGCCACGGCGCGACTCAGTTGCAAGCGGAGTATTTAAGGGACCCGGCCAAACACCTGGATGCAGGACCTTCCTCAACAAGGGGCCTCGAGTCTCGCCGAGGCGTTCCTGGGTAAATATATTCGTGAAAACGCTGGCCCTGTTAGTGTACGCGCGTAATTGCCAAAATGAACACTTTGCAGGAATGTGTCACGCACGCTTCCTCTAACCTCCCCACCCACCCCCACCTCTAGCCTCCCCCCCCAAGTGCCCAGGGCTTCTCTGTCCCCCCCCCCCCCCCCCACGACGTCCGTGGCAGACGATTTGCGTTTGTTAAACGCCTTTAGTTGTATTGTTTTCACTCTCATCATCGCCCCGCTTGGCAGCTGGGCGATGCCGTGGTCTCGGAGGGATCCAACTAAGCCAATTATGGTGAAGCGTCTCTCCACCTCCGGGCTTAATGCCATGAGCCATCGCTTTGTCGGTACAAGTCAACAGTTGGTTGTCCTATGAAGAGATTGGCCCGCAGCATAGGAATGTGGAATTTCCACGACTGGTCGAGGCCCGCCGCACCCGGAGAAACACTTCGCTTTGACTCTCCAACTCTGTCGGATGATTGGCTGTGATTACTGGCCCTGTGAGGGTGCGAGTTGAAGTCTCCATGTAGGAATACAGTTTATAAGCGCGTGCTATGCTGGGCTTTATTAAACTATTAACACAAACTAAACACGTTTTTTTTCCGGGGTAAGGGCTACTGAGCTGTGTAAGTTCTGCTTCAGAAGCGAGCTGGCCACGAATGACAGTTCAACGAAGTGGCTTATAAGGTGGAAATTTACAGCAGCCAATTACTCTAAACGCGTGATGCTGATTCTAACCGTGGAGGGAAAACCCGGAGAACCCGGAAAAAAATCCACGTGACAACGGGGAGAGTGACACACAAACTACAACTATAAAACAGGCGTCAGGGTCCGGATCGAACCCACGACCTCCTGTATACCGGGCGAGGTAGTTGACATCTCGCCAAAGTGGCGTGCGTGACACATTCAGCCGTGTCATCTGCACGATCGCCAGTTTACCAACGACCCAGGACATATTACAGCGAGAAATTGAGCCCAGGTTATATGCAGTAGTCAGTAGTGAATAGATCACTGAAACATGAATAATGCAATACCATGGTACATGAATTATACAGTGTCATTTTGCATACACGCTAACACAAAGACGAATATTATCACGTTTTGCTTTGACAGACTGTTGGGGCAAGTGCCGTTAGCAGCTTGCCCCAACAGTCTGTTAAATGAAGGCTGGGTGGGCGGCTCCACGCGCAGCCGCCTTTGTCTTCCTAGTGGCGATGTTTTTACACAACCGCACCATATGACACTTTTAATTCTGAGTCGACCTAGCGGACGCCTAGGACCTGTTCAAATATTTGCCCCTGTTTATTGATCGTGGGCGATAAATCGAGCTCACGTTGTCGGGTTCGTAGCGCAGCGCCCTAACTGCTGCGCCACCACTCCCCCACACACGACTCCCCACACACTAACACACTGACGCTAACACGCACATACAAAGGCAAATATCCCAGTGTAACCTTAACAGACTGTTGGAGCAAGTGCTGTTAGCGATCACCTATCAAGGCCGGTACCGTGGCACACGATGGGGTGGGTGGCCAGCACCACACCCGGCCGCCTGTGTCCACCCAGTGGCGATGTTCACACAACGCACCAGGTACGCATTTGAGGCTGAGTCGACCTAGAGGAGGCCCAAGACGGGTTCAGATAATGAACCCGTCCTGGGCGGGAATCGAACTCGGGTCACCAGGTTCGTAGCGTAACGCGCTAACCACTCCAATACTGCTCCCCACATGCACGTACACACACACACACACTCTTCACCGATGTGAACACGCACATACGTACACACCCAGGCGCATACATGTGAACACATGTCATGCACACACACACACACCCTCCCACACATCACAAGCGCACAGGAAGCCAAGACACATTGCCTCTCCCTCCCCTCACTCCACCCTCACTCCTCCACCCAGCAACCCTCCCACACCCAGCCAACTGCCTCCTCACTCGCTGCTTCCCACTCAGCTTCTCCTCCGCATCATCTTTATAGAGGAGAGAGGCGTTCAACTTATCGGGAAAACAACTTCATCAGCCGAGACACACATAAATACAACATCCCTAGAACTAACTTCTAACGTACTTGTGCACGGTACACAGAGTAAAAACACACGCGCGCGCGCACACTCACACCTGCACCGACCATTCGTCCATTCATTGACGACGATGGCATTCGCCGTCGAGTTTCACGCTCACGCGTTTCTCGTCAGCGCCGCCCTCTTGCTCAGCCTCGCCGCTGTGGAGGTGCAGCTGGAGGCGCCGGGCTGGAGGCAAGGCTACGGCTCTCGCTACGCCGGGTGAGTTCGCTGCTGATCGCTGATCCGCTGCTCGCACTGCCACACAGACGCCACCAGCGCCAAGAAGGGTGGGCGCTTCTTCTTCTTAATTGTCGTCGTCGTCATCACGATCCGTGGGCAGATAGCCCCGTAGGAGGTGTCCACCGCACATTTCGGCATTCGTTTCCACTCTCCTCTCTGTCTTATTTGTAGCGCCAACATACTCAAGTAGTGCGCACGTCTTTCTGGCACCGAACTCTTCTTATGTCGTCGTCAAGTCATTCTCCGTGAAGTATTCTTTTCTTTCCGGTTCTTTCCAATTTTTCCGAACAACAACAAACTTTTAATGTGCCTGCTGCCATCCATCCTACATGTGTGTCCAAATAGTGCCAGGTTCCTTCTCATCACCGTCTGCATCATCATCATCGTCGTCGTCGGGTCGTCTTCTTCTACGCGCAACCTTGTTCTCGCGTCTACGTTGGTCGCTCTTTGAGTCCGGCTTACATGCAGCAAGCATCCCTCTGTAGCAACACATTTCGAGTGGCAATATCGTGTCTCCGTCCGTGTTCGTTCCTTTGTAACGTCCACGTCTTGCAGGGCTTCTTCGCTCGAACGAAAGCAGCTCGCGGCTCGATCGTTGCAGACTTCTCGGTGTCTCACCGCTCAAACACGCGCCGAGCTGCGTTCATCTCATCCCATCTCTCCCGCCCTCCCCTTCCTCTCTCTCTCTCGGACGGCAACTGAGCCAACGGTGGAAATTACACATTCCTCAAACGGGAGCCAGTCTCTTCCCCCACCTGTAGCGCCCGTAGGAACGGATGTTAAATAAGTTAAAATCAACGCAAACGTTAAATGTGTCCCGGCCGTCCGCAAACACGCGCGCTTGTCCGTGGTTGGAGGAGACGCATTCCCTCGCGGGAGACGGAGCCGCTGCAGCCCCTCCCGACATCGCTGCGGGGCCATGTCCCGGGCTAAAGGGGCCCTGTATGTACGTCCCGTATGTGGAACTTCTTGAGCACCGTACGTAGGCCAACCGTGGTCATCGGAGGTGCGGGGGAAGGACAACAAAACTAACACACAAAAAGTAGGAAACCACCGATTGGCTAGCCATGCCGACGATGATGGTGATGATGATGATGACGGGTCGAGTTAACCCCGACAACGATTTGAACTCACGACCTTTTCTTATTTGTAAGTCGGATCGCCACGGATCCACCAGTCGGATTTAAATCGAGTGACGTACACCCGCAACAACGCACTGGATTCGCGATGCGGCTGCGGCTGCTGCTGCTGTGTTAGGGCTTTTACCATTGCTGTTGTTCAGCTCGCCAATCGGGTTGCGGGTTGTACCGCGTGTTCCGGCACGTAAAGCGAAACGTCGTACATCGTGCCACACCACAACGGGGTACGACCCTGCTGCGAGTTTACGGGCGAGCAGGCAGAATCATCATCATCCCGGGTCATCGACTCGGCTCATCGTCCCGCAGGAGTGTCCGCGGTATGGCCGCTCGACGGAGAGACTGGTCACTGCCGCAGGAATGTCCAAAACTGGCCAAAGGCCACCGAAGGAGATGTGCAAATACTTCACGCAGGATTGAGTAGGGATGCACCATACCTGTCAATCCCTTCTCGGTGCCCCACCTTATTACAGACCAATTCAGACCTCATTGGTCACCCCGTGCCCCTTACAAATCTCAACGTTCATCCGACACAGTCTCATCACAAGCGAAAAACACAAACAAATCGACCAAAAATTGCCCTATTGAAACGGCTGTACGCCGTATGGACCTGAAAACTCAATTTCCCTGCACACCAATACGAGGTAAACCGTATGGGTTGACAGCTATGGATGCACTCTTTCACCGTTGACTTTTATTTAAGTAAAATATTCTTAAGAAGCATTGACTCATGAGCATATCCCTTTCCGCGTCATGATTTGTATGTGTTTATCCGATGTGTTGTCGGGTCGTACCACGTGATGTTCAGCAAGACGTCCGACGTTTCGCTGCACGTGCTGGGGAGCGGGAGTGGTTGGGTGTTTGGGGGGTGCGGGGGGGAGCTATCCTATTCAGTTCATGAAGAAGCCCTGAGCACGTGGAGCGAAACGTCGGACATCATCACCATCATCATCAGTACAACCCGGAAATTCCTGGGAGGGCTGTACAGCACAGCTGGCACGACCTACGCAGCAGTGAGATCAATCTGCTATGTGACCAGCGGTTTTGTAACCCTTTGTCTCCGTATATATTATTTATTTATGACCTCCAGGGGGAGGGGTGGTGTGGTCAGGGGTGGCGGACCTGTTGCCCATGTCGGAGGCTTCCGCCTGCAACAATGATCAATGAAGGTGATTGACCGGCTCGGGCTTTTGTGGGCGGCCCAGGCAAGATGATCCGCGCGACGTAAATGATTGCGGCTCTGTGCGCGTCCTTTCGCCTGGCTGCGCGCGCGCGATTGAATGGTGGGGGGGGAGGTGAGCTCCGTGGACGCGACGGCGATGATGATGACGACGACGACGATGATGACGATGCAGGCCTCGTGAGCTGGAATGACGCGTCGTGTCTGTCACAGGCAGCAGGTTATCCGCGTTATTCCGGCCAACTCGAGGCAAGCGGAGATGTTGCGCACACTTGCACGCGATGCCAAGGTAATCATCAACGTAATTTTCATCATCCATTCTCAGTCAACTGCTGGATGAACATTGCACCGTGTTTGGGTGTGTGTGTGTGTGATTGCTGCTCATATATATGTTACTGTATATGTGTGTGTCCATGTTTCACGGCCAACCAAGTTCTCCACGTAAATCGTAGGATGATGGAATATCCATCACTGGCTCATTACGGGAGATATCATCATCGGTCATGGTTTATCCACTGCTTGATTAAGGCCTCCCCCCATGCCGTCGGGGTTCCATTCGTCTCGCTCCAGCACGTGGGCCGATCTCATTGCTCCATCTCATCACCATCCTCATTACAGATTGCACATTAAATCGGTCAGTACAGTATTGTGTTGCACGGTGCTTTTTGTTGTCTCTGTAATTAAATGGCTTATTGAGTGGCGTTTATCTCCATCGGAGCTCCGGTGACAACGGAGATTCCTCATCCCTCCACTGAGGACAATTCGATTCTCTCTACAACGCCGGCCCAGCTCCAACTTCTCTCAGATGGGAGGGGGGGCGGGTAGAGCTTTTGTGTGTGTCGGAGGCCTACTCTTTTTCAGAAGTGACCTGGTCACAAATGATAGCTAAACAACAACGTGGCTTATCACGTGGACATATATAGCAGCCAAATACTCTAAATGCACGTTTTCATATGTGGAGATAAAAACCGGAGGACCCGAGAACAATTCCATGCACCCACGGGGAAAACATGCAAACTCCCAATATACAGGTGTCGGGATCGAACCAACGACCTTCTGTATACTAGGCGAGGTGGTTAACATCTTGCAACTTAGGGAGTCAAAGGGACTTTTGGCCAGGCAGGTCCCAGCCCAGTTCCCCCACCTCGCGCCGGCCCTGCTACAAAGTGGTTTTATAATTTTTTTTATGAACCCTGGAGGGATGACAGGCCAAATCGACCCTGCTTTGGAATTGAACTCACGGCTTTTGACAGAGTTGCTCAGTCCACGGGCAAGCGCTTTCCACCTTGGGATTGCGGCTCGACGTTTTCTCTTGACTCCCAGCCAAAAGGGCGCATGTCAGAAAAAAATTCGGCTTGTAAATCGTGTAAAGTGTCAGCCCTCCCATCACGCGGAGTTGTACTGCACGCGTTCTGCACGGCGACCTGCACACCACACCTCTCGCTTCCATCTAATTCGCAGCCCTGGTGCGTGACTTTGTCTTAAGGGTGGGGGTGGAGGAGGGGGATGCACGATACAGGCGTCGTTAAATAAACTTAAAACAAATGCTCAACGCTGAAGCGGGAATGAGTAACGGCCTCTCGCGTCTATGGCGCGCTCTGTTGCAACCCGTTATGAGAGTCGATACGATTTTAGAACTCATCGTTCGCAGTCCATTCCTCCAACATGGAACCACAGCTCAGCCAGAATGGATTTGCCACAGAGTGTTTCTGAATTGATCAACGCCGGTAGGATGATGGTGGTGGTGGCGATTATGATGATGTTGTTTTTGGGTTGAAATCCTCACCATCCTCGATTTAAATGCAGGAGCTATTTGTGAGCCGAGCGCAACTCATCTGAACGGCATGTGGCCAGCCAATTAGTGAGCGGGTACGAGTTAACGGAGGCGCGGTGTTCGTTTCGGAGCCCCTAATGCTTGAAGCCGGAGAGCGAACGGTTTTCAGGAATGACATTTAACGGCAGTGACCGTAAACTATTGCTCGCACCTGGTCCCTAGGCAATCACCATTGCGCTGGGGGTGTGGGGGGGGAGCACATGTGTGGGAAATTATCTGCAGGGCATATAATTGGTCATGGGTCACTTTTCAAACCTTCCTGCCCTCTGTCATGCTGCGCATGTTATGCCCGAACACATGCACTGCATCCGCACGCAAAGCTCTCTCTCACTCTCTGTTGTTTGAACTTGGAGAGGCTTATGCGGGTAGGTTCTCTTTGCGAGCGCCGGTTTTGTTTCGCCCGGCTGGCGTGTTAATTGCACGTCCAACGAATTAACTCTCAAAAAATTGAATGAGCTGAATAACGCTTAAAGCCAAATTCAATGTGCTGGGGTTTTTTTATGTTTGTGCAGCCATTGGCGGCCAGGCTGAGGACATCAAATCGCTACGCTTAGAACCCCGGCTTACCCTCCGATTACAATGGTTGGCTACGTACGGTGCGAAAGAAGTTCAACGAAGGGCAGCCGAAACCTTGAGTCAAAACGCCAGGATGTCAGCTGTGCCGCCAGAGTGCTCGAGCGCCACTCGACCACCGACCCAGGACCGTACCAACGGTCCAGGTCACGAGGTTCATGTTCAACTTCAGGATTCAGATACGAATTGCCACAGGCATGCATGGCTGGGAATGAAACCCAGGCCTCTAGCCGTGTTGGCCGTGTGTTCATTTCCACGCGACCAGCCTGTGGATGAGGTAGCTGAGGGCCACCAAGACACCTTCACTTGAGTCAATAATCTGATGAATAACGGAGAGGCGTAGCCCTGCTATTAGTTGCTGACTCCACTGCTGGCGCAACGACCTCCGACTAGTGGGTGCTCGAGACTGCAGTGGTTCTCAGCCAGGGGTTACACGCGGACCCCTGGGGGTAACGTGGCAATGTCCCAGGGGGTCCGCGAGGTGATTTACAAACGTGTGAAATTATATCGTACGTGAGAGCCATTGGTGAATAATGATGTATGAATCTGCCAATATCATATAACTACGATACAATTTAAGTCTAGATGGTAACCTAGAAGACCTTTCTAAACACCTTGATCATTAACAATGCGGGTTTCCAAGAGTAACTAGCGAGCGAGAACACATCACGTCACACGCGTGCAGAGCGTCCGTTGATTTTTTGTTGTATTCGCTTGCAGTTACTAGCAGCTAGTTAGGATTCCTCACAAAATGGACAATTGATTAAAATATTTACGTTCATTATTCATACATTTATTTCTCAGAACCACACTGGGTCAGACAAGCGGAGGGGGGAGGGGGGTAGACTCGGTTGAAACAAGATTCAACAAGGGGGGGGGGTACAGCAGTAGCCATTAAAGCAGGGGCGGTTTCTTCATTAGGGCGATTGGGCGATGCACCACCAATGTCATTCAACCACAGAGTCACGCTAGCCGTCACTGTGCCTCTGGATATAGTCCAATCAGCGTCATGCTACGTTCTGTGGAGTACCGCCTCTTTTTGGGCGATTTCACTCCGGCTGAGAATCGCCCCGAGTGGTCCCATAGACTTACATTCAAAGATGTTTTTTTTCGAACGGGGGCGCTGCAATGCATTCTCTATGGCTTCCGGGAGGGCTCGCCCTAACGTGCTTACGTCATCATACGTGCTTACGTCATCATACGTAAGCACGTTTCATCCAACAATATAATTTGTTGCCACCTAGTGGAATCTTTAATAAAAAAAAAAAACTTGAGTGGTTTGTTTTAATAGTGAGTATAGAAACAAACAAGATGTATTGTAAGAGTCACTTTATTTTTCATTAATATTAAAGAAGGGAAGTTGCCTTTACATGCTTAAGCTGTTAATTTATCCATTGCATGGGTGGACCTTATCCTTATCAATCATCCAGACATTTGCCCCCCCTGAGAAATTTTGCAGGAGCCGCCACTGCATTAAAGGTTGAGAATCTCTGCTTTAGAGAGCCCCCCCCCACCACCCCGTAGGGTACTTGGCCTACTCTTCTATACTCGTCAGGCATGGAATAGGTGACAGTGCACACAGTTTCCACCACCACACACGTGACCTGCCAATCAACTGTGATGCACACAGTTATGCTACTGGGTAGACAGAGGTGACGGGGTGAGGGGTGGGGGGGAGCGGGGGTATTTCAGAACCTTGCCCCATTGTTACGTCTGCCTCGCCAGGAGGTGGAATCGAATCCCGGAGACGTAAGTCCAGCATGACCACCATTGCACCACCGCAGCGGCAGGGCCCCGTGATGAGTTTTGTTCATCACGATTCACAGTCAACCCTCCAGCTGTCTCTATGCGCGTGCGTGAATCGGTTTGGAAGGCAAGGCTTGGTGGGTCAAATTGATGAAACGCCCAAAGCATCAGGGCTGCAATGTGAACGCCAGGCTATATAGCAGTACAGCACGTGGTCTAGTAAACACCTCTGTGCGCGGACCATCAAGCGTTATCTCCCCGCACGCACGTGGGCTTCCACCGGGTTACTCACATTCCCTGTCACGCAACGCCCGCACGAATGGAGTTCGCCAAAACATCCCAATTTCAGTGCCCTCTTGACGGCGGTTCCTTGCGACTCGCAACATTTGACTGAGTCAACATCGTTCGCAGCTGGACCTGTGGCACCCAAGCAGCGGCGACCTCATCCACCCGGGCGCCCCCACCGACTTCCGCGTCCCCCGCTCCGTCGTGGCCGGATCGGGCCGCCGCGGCGGCGAGGGCGGCGCACGGGGACGCGGGGCCTCGCTGAGCCCCGAGGAGGTCAAGGCCTTCCTGTCGCGCGCCAACGTCTCGCACACGTGGGTGCCGCTCGCGACCTCGCGAATTCACGTGGTGGCCACGGGGATATATATATTTTGTCAAAATGCATCCGTCTAATTATTTTTCTTCAAACGTTGTCTAAAATGTGCTCTCTCAGGTATTTATGTTACGAGAGGAAATATCTTATTTGTTAAAGAATGATTCATGGAAGTGGGTATTACAGAACTACTCTTGATTGCCATTAAAATGACCTCTGGTCCACTCGACAGAGGGCGGTACAAGTCTCTTCAGTAGAAACCTCCTGCTGTAGCAGGCTATATATTTATAACTATCTGCATGAGAGTGTTATATATATAGCCTACTACAAGTTTTCATTGCATGTCAATCACAATCAAATTCTGTACAACCATCCCCCGTAACGGCCCCCCAACAACATCGGCATTCTTTACCCCCCCCCCCCCACACTGACGTAAATCCCTGGCACCGAGTTGACCGGGAGTAACCCCGAGGTGTGGAGAGAGGCGGGCTTGGTGTCCGGAGATGAGGAGACACACGGTCCGAGGTGTGAAGGAAAGGAGATTGGTGGCTCGGAATAAGAAGATCGGGATGAGGGGAGGGAATGGGAGTGGGGCCGTAGTGAAAGGAGACAAGAGAGAGAGATAAAGAGCTGTGGATGAAGGTGGGAGAGCTTCATCGTATGAAGGAGAGAGAGCTGTGGATGAAGGAAAGATAGAGCGAGCTGTGAATGACGAAGGGAGAGCTTAATGTGAAGGAGAGCTGTGGATGAAGGTGAGAGATTGCTGTGGATGAAGGAAGGAGAGCTTCACATGAAGGAGAGAACGCTGTGGATGAAGGAGGGAGAGAGCTGTGGATGAAGGAGAGAGAGTGTTGTGGATGAACGAGGGAGCTGTATGTGATAGGCAAGGTAGAATAAAAGTGCTGGAACCCTTACCTGTCTTCTGTGTGTTGGTGAGGAGAGTGCACGCTACACTTGTAACAGGAGTCGCGGATGAGAGGAGGGTTGCAGCATTTGACATTTTGTTGATCGAATGAATAACAATAATAATGCCTGGCCCTCTGTCCATCCATTGCTGGATGAACGCCCCCCCCGCCCCCGAGGCCGGTATATCCACACCATTTGTTGATCTCCCACAACGTGGTAGAATTTTACTCCCTCGAAGTGGGATGATGGGCTGAGTCAGCCCCTGATCAAAATTGAACTCGCAGCACTTCCTTTAGGGCCAAGCGCTCGATCCGCAACACCACCCGACAACATGCCCATGAAGTACCGATGATCTGTGATATCGATGAGACCAGCACACATATTCGACGGTGCATAGAAGAACATTGATGATGATGATGATGATGCTTCTGCTGATGACAAAGATGCCGGCCCTGCTGATGTTGGTGGTGATGTCGATGGCAGGGTTCTGATGGACGATGTCCAGAAGGTGATCGATGCCCAGCTCAAGACCTCCACCAGAGACAAGAGGAATGCCCGGGGGTACAACTACAATGTGTACCACCCCCTGGAGGAGGTGCGCCGCTCACCTCGTCACGGCTCTGGTCTCACGCGTTCATGGACCATTAGCAGTGCTGGATTAAGGCAGCGGCTAAACGGGTGGAAGGCTATGACCTACATTTTTTAATAGCCCAAATTACTCTCACGCACATACACAGATGCACCAGGGGACCCCCAGTGGCAGCTGTCCCTGTGCGGTGCAAGTTGTTCACTGACAGCACTTGCCCCAACAGTCTGTTAAGGCTATACGGGGGATCTTTGTCTTGGTTTCTGTGTGCATGTGCAGATTGTGACGTGGATGTCAGACGTCGCGGAACAGAATCCTGCACTGGTCTCGCGCATACTCATCGGAAAGTCTTACGAGGGGAGGCCTCTATACATTCTTCAGGTAAACCGGCCAAGTCACGTGCCTGAGTTGCAGGCTCAATATCTCTTGCGGCTGGCTCGCTGTGGAGCGCCACGGTGGCGAGGAGATGTTGACTACCTCGCCTGGTGTGCAGAAGGTCGTCGGTTCGATCCCGACCCTGATGCCTGCTGCATATTTGGCGTTTTCGTGTATCTCTCCCCGTGGTCGAGTTTACTCTTCTCTGGGTCCTCCATTTTTCCCCGCTGCACATTTAGAATCGACACGCGTTCAGATTATTTGGCTTGAGAGACACGTGAAAAGCCACTTCGTTGAACTATCTTTTGTCATAGCCAGGTCGTTTTTTAAAAAAGAGCGATATAGAGTAACTCAGTAGGCCTTACCTGGTTAAAATATATATATATACGTTAGTTTATACATAATAGAGTTGTTTGGGGTTGGATCGCGTAAATATATAAATGTGTCGTTAAAAACCGCCACCACCCGACACAGCCAACTAGTAAGGGTGCTCACGTAAACAGAACATGCCAATTACAATCTGAGTACGACGTTTCACCAGGAATTACAACTAGCTTCATCAGGCGATAACCAGATTTGTGGAGAAGTCCACCTGTTTCGTTCCTTATATAGAGGCGTAGATATGATCACTCACACTTTTCTTGCGCAGAAGTGTGAGTCAACATACATTACCCATGCACATTATGCAAAGCGTTAAACTGACTTAGTTTATAGTTTAAATACCGAGTTACTCCATCGCCAACTGCACTGTCACGGGGTAGCACCGTGTGGTCTTCATTCCAGGCCGCTTCTGAAAATGAGCTACGACGTAGCTCGGTATATAAACTACGCAGCTCAGTGGGCCTTACCTGGTAAAATAAGCATAGTAATAATCATAGTAATAAACATAGTAAAACAATAGAAGAGTGGGCTCCTCGTGGCCGTGGACCTTGCGAGATCAAGTCGGGGGCAGTGCAACCCTCGGCGGGATCGTGGAACTTCCCACTCCTCCATCTCCCCCTTAACCCATCTCACTCTCTCTGTGTCCCTCTCTGTGTCTCATCCCATCTCACTCTCTCATCCCATCTCACTCTACACGTGCCGGTGATGTGCGCGTCTTCTTCGAAAGCTGGGGCCGGAAAAGCCCTCTGTATCAGCGTGGACGGCACCCTCATGTTCACCTTCTGAAGTGCTCGCTCGTCGCCGTGGCGTGCGCGGTGACCATCACCACGTGACTTTTATTTCGGCACATTTAGCGCCACAGCACGTGTATTTATAGCGTTTTTTATTTGTTTTCTGGTGACTGTGTATTTCGTATCGGAATCGCCTCCAGTGATGTTACTGCTGGCGGCAATAAAAGTTGTTTAAAAGTCAAAAGTCTCTCTGTCCCTCTGAGTGTCCCATCCCATCTCATTCTCTCTGTGTCTCTAAGTTTTTTTCGCTCTCCTCTATCCAGGTGGGGAAAAAGAAAGGTGGGACGAAGCCCTCGATGTGGCTCGACTGCGGGATGCATGCGCGCGAGTGGATCAGCCCAGCCTTTTGCCAGTGGTTCGTGAAGGAGGTGCAGCTTTAGTGTGATTGGGTCTGTTTGTTTCGCAGATCGCCTCTCCTACCTCTCCCCTCTCATCTCATTCTACTCCCCTCCACGCACTTTCCCACCTCTCACCTTACTCTACTCCCCTCCCCGCACTCTCCTACCACTCCCCTCTCATCTCACTCTACTTCCCTCCACGCACTCTCCCACCTCTCCCCTCTCATCGCACTCTACTCCCCTCCATGCACTCTCCTACCACTCCCCTCTCATCTCACTCTACTTCCCTCCACGCACTCTCCCACCTCTCCCCTCTCATCGCACTCTACTCCCCTCCATGCACTCTCCTACCTCTCCCCTCTCATCTCACTCTACTCCCCTCCACGCACTCTCCCACCTCTCCCTTCTCATCTCACTCTACTCCCCTCCCACGCACTCTCCTACCTCTCCCCTCTCATCTCACTCTACTTCCCTCCACGCACTCTCCCACCTCTCCCCTCTCATCGCACTCTACTCCCCTCCATGCACTCTCCTACCTCTCCCCTCTCATCTCACTCTACTCCCCTCCACGCACTCTCCCACCTCTCCCTTCTCATCTCACTCTACTCCCCTCCCACGCACTCTCCTACCTCTCCCCTCTCATCTCACTCTACTTCCCTCCACGCACTCTCCCACCTCTCCCCTCTCATCGCACTCTACTCCCCTCCATGCACTCTCCTACCTCTCCCCTCTCATCTCACTCTACTCCCCTCCACGCACTCTCCCACCTCTCCCTTCTCATCTCACTCTACTCCCCTCCCACGCACTCTCCTACCTCTCCCCTCTCATCTCACTCTACTTCCCTCCACGCACTCTCCCACCTCTCCCCTCTCATCGCACTCTACTCCCCTCCACGCACTCTCCTACCTCTCCCCTCTCATCTCACTCTACTCCCCTCCCCGCACTCTCCTACCTCTCCCCTCTCACCTCACTCTACTCCCCTCCACGCACTCTCCTACCTCTCCCCTCTCATCTCACTCTACTTCCCTCCATGCACTCTCCTACCTCTCCCCTCTCATCGCACTTTAGTCCCCTCCAGGCACTCTCCTACCTCTCATCTCACTCTACTTCCCTCCTTCCCTCCATGCACTCTCCTACCTCTCCCCTCTCATCTCACTCTACTTCCCTCCACGCACTCTCCCTCTTGTAATGATATGAGTGCATCTGCTGTGCTCATGTGTGGTCGCGGGTTAATGTGTGATCGTGTGTTAATGTGTGGTTGTGTGTTAACGTGTGGTTGTGTGTTAACGTATGGTTGTGTGTTAATTTGTTGTTGTGTGTTAATGTGTGGTCGTGTGTTATTCTGTGGTTGTTTGTTAATGTGTTGTTGTGTGTTAATGTGTGGTCGTGTGTTAATCTGTGGTTGTTTGTTAATGTGTTGTTGTGTGTTAATCTGTGGTTATCTGTTAATATGTTGTTGTGTGTTATTCTGTGGCTGACCACCCCCGTGCCCTCCCTCCTTCACACCCCCACCGCCCATCCCACCCCCTGCCCCCCCTCACCCCCAGGCTGTGCGCACCCAGCGCAGTGACCCGGCCATGCGTCGTTTACTCAACCGCCTCGACTTCTACGTCATGCCCGTGCTCAATGTGGACGGCTACGCCTACAGCTGGAACAAGGTCAGTCGCTCAGTATCAGGGCACCACGGTGGCGAGATGTTAACTACCTCGCCTGGTATACTGGAGGTCGTGGGTGCGAACCCGACCCTGACACCTGCTGTATATTTGGAGTTTGCGTGTCTCTCTGTCCCCGTGGCCACGTGGATTTTCTCCGGGTCCTCTGGTTTTCCCCTCCACATTTAGAAACAATGTCATGTGTTTAGAGTCCTTGGCGGCTATACATTTTCACGCAATGATAAGCCACTTTGTTGCCCCCACGATCGTCTGCACTATAGATTCCTTTCAAATGGGTGCAGGTTCAAGGCCGCACCAGCCCGGCGCTAGCGTGGCGCCGGGCCATGCGCCGCCAAATGTCGCTTTGGCCCAACTCGCGTTCACTCTCCTCCTAGAGCGGTCATTCACTTGCCTGCTATGGTGGCCCTGGCTTCATCCTACATAGGCTGTTGGGACAAGTGCTGTTAGCAAGCACCTATGAAGGATGGCATGGCACCGAGGGAGGTCGGCAAGCCAGCACCACGCTGTAGTGTGCCGTGCCAGCCTTCATGGGTGCTCGCTAACAGCACTTGCCCCAACAGTCTGTTTAGGCTATACAGGGGATCTTTGTTTCATGTGCAGCTGGTCACCAAACAACGTGTGCGAACAGTGAATGATGCTTTGGTGGACCACCGGATGTCCTTCAGGACAGCATTGGAGTATAACTCGTGTTTCCATGCCACGAGATCCGTTTTGAGTCGCGACGCGCAGATGACAAACGATACGAGGCACGCGCGACACCAGTGTCATTTCGGAGGCGAGGCCCAACGAGTCTCCGCGTTCCCTTCATTCCCCAGGCGAAGCGGAGGCCTCGTAAGCCGCACGCGTCACCGCGCTGCGCCGTGTGTCCCCTCTGCCTCCTCGCCCCCTCGGCAGGATCGCCTGTGGCGGAAGACGCGATCCAAAACGTCGCGTAAAGGCTGCCTGGGAGCGGACGCCAACCGCAACTGGAACGTCGGCTGGAGCGGTACGCGGAACGCGGCGCAAGCGGTCACAGCTTCCGCTCCGAATAGCTTCGTGAAAACCCCTCTGCAGGGTCGGCGTGGAGTCTCCACCACCGTTGGCCGGAAGTCACTCGGTGGAGGTGGCCATGTCACACTCACCTTGACCAACGGCTTGCACAAGCTGTGGGTTCAGTTCTCAAAGAAAAACCCAAACGTTGGAAACGTTCCATAATCACGCGGTTTCCGCGAAATGTAATTGGCGAAAAATATCAACGACGCAACGTGCTGGAGCCTTTAAGTTTACACTGGGCCGAGTATTTTTAGGCTAAATATTGGTAACACATTTCATGTTTCCATGAATTGTGTCCAACCGCCGGCTATGTATACACACGTGAAACTCGGCTGCGTGATTCCAGGATGGTTTACAATATAATATTCATTAGAACAGTTTTTTTTACTTCACGTGAATTCCCTGCACCCAGCTTTCAGGAACACACTTTAACCGGCGCACTGTACTTGTGAAATTTTTCTCAAATCGTGGTGTTTTTTTTCTGCGCTGATATTTCCACGTTTTTGTTTTGACGATTGAGAAAGGGAGACAACACGATTCGAATGCTCGCGAAAAACAAGAATTTGAGAAAAAACAACAGTCAGCGTGCCTCCCGGCTCAAACAAGTGCTCTGAATTCCACATTCCCATGGCAAGAAAGCACAACTTGTCCTTAGGCAATGAGCTGAGTCCTCATCAAGATGCGTGTGTGCGTGCGTATCCTGAGTGGTTCACCCACTGAGTGAAGGTGTTTGATTCCTGGCCACGGTACAACCTCAGTGGCATTCACCCGAACCTGTGCTGGCGGGGTGGGAGCGGGGGCGTGGTGGTCTCCCCTAGTTCGACTCAGCCTTAAATGAGTGCGGCGTGCTAACATCGGCAGTGGGGAGACCAGGCGGCCGGACGTGGTGTTGGCTACCCTACACGGTGGAAGAGGGGGAGTGGGGGGTGGAGAGGGGGCGGAATGGGGGAGTGGAGGGTGGGGGGGTTGGGGGGGGGTGGAGGGCGAGGGGGAGTAGGGGGTGGGGAGGTGGAGGGGAGTAAAGAGTGTGGGGGGGAGAAGGGATGGGGGGGAGGGTGGGTGGTGGGAGGGGAGGGAAGTGGGTGGAAGAGGGGGGTATGGGGGGGTGGAGTGGAGTGGAGGCCGGAATAGAGGGTGGGGGGGGATGGTGAGGGGGGCGGAGTGGATGGTGAGGGGGGAGAGTGGGGGAAATGGAGGGTGGGGGGGTAATCAGCGTCTACGGCGCTCGTCCCAGGAGCGGGCGCCTCCGTGCACCCGTGCGATGAGACGTACTGCGGGGGCCGCCCCGAGTCGGAGCCCGAGGTGAAGGCGGCAGCGCGCTTCCTGAAGCGCCAGCGGCGGCTCCTCCGCGCCTACGTGACGGTGCACGCCTACGCCCAGCTGCTCCTCTACCCATACGCGCACCGCCGCAGCGCCATCCCCAACCGCCACTGCGTGGTGAGAGAGCGCGACGCGCCACTGCCACCGCTGCCACCATCGCCATCGCCACTACCACCGCCACCATCGCCACCACCACCGCCGCCATCGCCACCACCACCGCCACCATCGTCACCACCACCACCGCCGCCGCCACTACCACCGCCACCATCGTCACCACCACCATCGTCACCACCACCACCGCCGCCGCCACTATCACCGCCACCATCGTCACCACCACCGCCACCATCGCCAACACCACCACCGCCGCCGCCACTACCACCGCCACCATCGTCACCACCACCGCCACCATCGCCACCACCACCACCGCCGCCGCCACTACCACCGCCACCATCGCCACCACCACCACCGCCGCCGCCACTACCACCGCCACCATCGTCACCACCACCACCGCCGCCACTACCACCGCCATCGCCACCGTCGTGCACCGCATCGACAGGGCCCCGAAAACCTCGCCGCCAGGGCCAGGACTTCGTTGTAGCCAAGGCTTGCCTGGGTTGGTGACCCGGGATGTTTTTATCCATCATCATCATGATTTCATATCTGCCCCACGCCTCCCATGCAATGTAATGTCAATAGTTATTTAAGGAACGCTAAATCATCTCGCATGTGCAGTGCTGTCCGGTCACACTGCTCTTTGAGGTCTCTCTTGAAGGGGTTGAACTCGGGGCTCATGAACCACATCTCAACACGCCGGAGCAGAAGTGGCATTTGAGATCATCTCTGAGTGCCATAGTGACTGCAGGCCGAATGGTTACGAACGATGCGGACAGTGTACGAAACCAAACGAGAGAATGACATTGAAAATATTGGACGTGATTTGGCCTTATCCACGTTGGTGTCCGCTTCATTAAAATTATAAATACAATTGCACCCGGAACACCGCATCCAGTACGTTCTCTCGCTATGGCTGCTACTCGGTGCCACCCGTGGCTGCCAGTCTGTGAAGGGTGAAATTAAGCTCTGGTCCTGACCCATCATGCGCTGCACTAACCAGACCCATCACGCATTTGCGTGTGTCGCTAAGCTCACACGTGTGTATGTGTGCATGTGTGTGCGCGTGTGTGCGTGTATGTGTGCGGCGGGGATAGCTCGTTGTAGTAGTTAGCGCTACGCTGCATTACGAACTTGGCGTAACGAGTTCGATTCCCACTCACGGTCAACACCAGTGACGATTATCTGAACCGGTTCTCGGCCTCCCCTAGGTCGACTCATCTTCAAATGAGTATCAGGTGCGGTGTGCAAACATTATCAACACTGGGGAGACAAAGGCAGACGGGTCTGGTTCTGGCCACCCACCCCCTTGTGTGCCATGCCGTCCTTCATAGGTGCTCGCCAACAGCACTTTCCCCCAAATTCTGTGAAGACTACACGGGGGATCTTTATCTTTGTGTCTGTATATTTACGAGTGATGACACAACGTACCCAGGCTGCAAGTGATGGAGTGACGGAGCAATACAATTGTGAACATTTGTTCACACTTGTATTGCAATCTCTGGCCAGTGAGCTCGTGACCTACTCCGGTTCGGCAGTGGGAGGTCGCCGTGCCCTCTTATCACCATCGGCTGTGGAAGTGACGCTCTGTGTGGAAGCCGCCTGGCCTGTCGCTCCACACGAAGGTGCCGTGTATTGTCAGCCACGGCTATTGCCTCTCTTTATGCCTGTGGAAGAAAATGTAGATGCCCTTCAAGGGATACCCCGTGCCAGATTTAAACAATTCAGACCGACCTGCCGACGATCCATCCTGGGTTCCGTCCAGTTGAGATTATGTAAGGTCACGGATCCTTGAAAGATCTCGGGCACTGTTCCATTATAATCGAGCTCCTCCATCGGGTACGGATGCACTGGCAGGGTGATGCAGCCCATATGCCCAGGCACCTCATGCTAAAGCAGTTTATATCGGTGTTTGTGTGTGGAGTGTGTGTGTGTATACGAGTATGAACGAGTGTATGTGTGTATATATTCGGATGTGCCCAATTCCCACCGACGACTAACGTCAGTGACAAGTGTCTACACCAGTCCTGGGCCTCCCACTCGTCGACTCAGCTTCACTTGAGTACCTAGCGGCGATGTTTGCACACCGCACCATGTATCTGGCGCAGTGTGCAAACATCGGTACGAGAGAGACAAAGGCGGCCGGGCGTGGTGCTGTCCACCCACCCCCTCGTGCGCCGTTCCGGTCTTCATCGGTTGCTCCTCGCGAACAGCACTTGCCCCAACAGTGTGACAAGGCTACACGGGGGACCTTTGTCTGTCCTACGTTGTGGGCACTAGGAGCTGGTGGCCAATGAAGCGGTGTCGGCGCTGCACGCAGTGAACGGCAGCAAATACGACTACGGGCCTGCCTCCTCCACCATGTGTGAGCCACACACTCGCAGTGACACACTCGCACCGAAACATTCGCAGTGACACACTCGCGGTGGAATTCTCACGGGGACACATTCGCAGTGGACACAACAGAGACACGCTGGAGCCCACAGAAACACCGTGTACACAACATAGACACCCTGGACGCAACAGGCACGGTCTGCACACTGCACACACACACACACCCGGGCCGCAGCAGTGCGCGCCCTTCGTGACGCAGCCACAGTCCGCGCGTCAGCACCGCGTGCGCACGGAGGGAAGCCGTCACTCACGAGAAACACGACGAGTTTCCCCCTCAAGTTTACATAAACTTGACCCTTGCCGGACCGACGCCTGGTCCATTACTCACTGAGCGGCGCTGTAAACTCATGTATTTGCCTACCTCGACGGCATTGTTTATGTGCGTGTGTGCGCGTATTGTAGGGAGCAGTGGGGTTAGCAGTTAGCGCTTCGCTGCGCTACGAACCCGGCGACCCCAGTTCAATTCCCGCTCACGGCCGACATGGGTGACGATTATCTGACCCAGTCCTGGGCTTCCTCCCATAGGTCGACTTAGCCACAAATACGATACCTGGTGCGGTGTGTAAACATCGCCGCTAGAAGAGACAAAGGCGGTCTGGCGTGGTTCTGGCCACCAGCCCCCTCGTGTGCCGTCCCGGCTTCACAGGTGCTCGCTAACATCGCTTGCCCCGACAGTCTGTCAAGGCTACACGGGGGAGGATCTTTGTCTTCAATTCGTATCTTTGTTTCTTTTGGCTTTGAACGAGCGCTGCCAAACAGCAGCTAATCATCTCTGATTGGTTCCTGCTGGGGATTTGTTTTTTAAATCGCCAGCGCCGATGTTTTTTAGGAAATAGACAGACGACTAAAATATCCCCACACGTGATGTTCTGCACAACATCTGGGGGGGGCGGGAGAGGAGGTGGTGTAACAACAAGCAGCGTGCTCACGACCACGCGGCTGCGTGCCTGCACCCACGACCACGTGTCTTTCACCCACGACCACAAGGCTTTGCACCGCGGACGCGCTAGAGCAGAGCATGCATTGGTCGGTTTTTTATACGAAAGAGAAACCAGGTTGATCACTCCGATACACGGGTGGCCCAAAAGTTAGGACGCATTATGGTTATGATTTGTTTTATGGATTGCAACTGAACGCGAGTCCAGTACAATATACCGATCGCAAAATAAGACATTTATTTCAACAAATCACATATTAGATTGATCTAATTTACTTCAACAAATGTTAGAACATTAACATGAATGCGTTATGCGTGAACTGTCTTTAAAAATGTATTTCAGACTCTTTTTTTTAAGATTATAGCTGCCTTTAGCATCCATAAAATTAATTCGTCTTTAGTCAATTTTCTTTCCATGTTTAAATGTCATCTGAAAAGGAAGACGAAAAATAAATATTAATAATGATAATAGATCAAATATTAACTTCAAGAATAAACGATTTTTTTAATGCTCGTGTAATGCGAGCGTAAATGGGGTTGTTGCTGGGCTCTGGTCCAATCACACGGCCCGGGGAATTGGGGGGTGGAGCCTGGTCTGCGGGGCGTATGGGAGGGGCCACCGTTCACCTCGGCTCCAATGGGAGGCGAGGTGAATGGGGGCGGAGCCAGCGGGGTAGTATGGGAAGGCCGGATCTGACGATCTGGAAGGGGAGGAGTCAGGGTCACGTGGGGGGAATGTATATAAGTGAGAGCCCGGAAGAGATCGGGGCAGTCGGGGAAGTTAATAGGCTGAGCCACGTTGGGTGGTGAGAGAGAGATCCACGCCATCGGCAACGTGGCCGAAGGACCTCAGCACGCCGTCGGCCAGCGGTGTGCGGAGTGCGGGAGTAGAGGAGCTAACGGAGGAGCGTGCATGGCACGCGAGAGGGAGCGTGCGCGGGGCGCACGCGAGACGACGCTGAAAGGGGCGTTCGACAAAATGGCGGAAGCGTACGAGCCTCCGGACGATGCACACCGCAGATTCGTCCAGAGGCAACGGGCAACGGAGGAATCGCCTGTGGCTTTCCGGGGCGCTGTGCTTGAGCCGACCATTGCCGTGTATCCAGAGACAGAGCCCGACTTGTTGGAGCCCTTGATACTGGGCAAGATGTTGGAGCTGTCCAAGGACTTGGGCATTCCGCTGCCGGTGTGCGGCCATGAGCAGCTGACCTCCTGGATGGCAGCCAAGTGCCTCAACGTGCAGTTAAACTTGCGCTGTTGGGCGCAGATGACCGCCTGGACGGGGAGCCCGACCGTGGAGGGAGACGCCGTCGGGTGGACTCCGTCGAAGGCCGTCTTCGTGCCAGACGAGAGGGGGCCTGGCGATCTCACTGCGGCGGCAGGCCAGTGGGTTCCTCGAGGGGGAGCAGAGTTGCGCTCCGGGCCACCGCTGAGGGATCGCCGAGACAGGGGGGGAAGCCGGGCGGCGGGCCGACTCGTCGTTTTACCGCTGTGGGCGTCTTGGACACTTTGCGCGGGACTGTCGGAGTCGCCCTCGCCCGCCTTTTCAGCCGGAGTCCCCGGCCAGGGACGCGACGTCAACGCCGGAGAGTCAACTGTGTCAGACGGGCCGGCTGTGATCCTGCCGGACACAGGGATTCCTGCACCGGGTGGGCCTACCACGGCGACGGGGACACTTGGCCCCGCTGCCCCTCCAACCCCGCCGCGGTTGCAGTTGCACGGGGCCCCGACTACGGACCTCTCTGGGGAACGGGGTGCTGGGACGGACAGGCCTCCACCAGCGGCGGATGGTTCCGGTTTCGCCGCTCCTAAAACCCTGTCGGGACTGCGACCTTTGAGGGTGCCGCCTCTCGTGAAGGATGGGCCGGCGACCCGCACTTGTTCCAAATCCCTTCCCTTTCGTTAATTGTGTTGTTGTTATACTCTCCGCTGTGTCTGGTGATTCCTGATTATGATGCTGTCGCTCGCATTATTTTGTCCTATTGCAGCCGGGACGGCTGGCTTTTTCATCGGGGGGGGGGGGGGGGTCATGTAATGCGAGCGTAAATGGGGTTGTTGCTGGGCTCTGGTCTAATCACATGGCCCGGGGTATTGGGGGGCGGAGCCTGGTCTGCGGGGCGTGTAGGAGGGGCCACTGTTCACCTCGGCTCCAATGGGAGGCGAGGTGAATGGGGGCGGAGCCAGCGGGGTAGTATGGGAAGGCCGGATCTGATGATCCGGAAGGGGAGGAGTCAGGGTTACATGGGGGGAATGGATATAAGTGGGAGCCCAGAAGAGATCGGGGCAGTCGGGGAAATTAAGAGTCTGAGCCATGTTGGGTGGTGAGAGAGATCCGCGCCATCGGCTACGTGGCCGAAGGACCTCAGCACGCCGTCGGCCAGCGGTGTGCGGGAGTAGAGGAGCTAACGGAGGAGCGTGCGTGGCACGCGAGAGGGAGCGTGCGCGGGGCGCGCGCGAGACGACGCTGGTCCGTGGAGGAGACCAGCGAGGTGCGGAGAAGAACCTGAATAAAAGATAAGCGGAGACCAGCAGTGCCTAATGGAGTCTTTTATTACACTAGTATTAAAATTAATTAAATAACCCAATGTGTCCTGACTTTTGGCCCACCCTTAAGAGCCAGTCAGTGTTCCCCAAGCTTCAAAAAGCAAACAGAATGCAAACTGATGCCCAGTTAGGACTCTCATAGCCCAGGTGACCCTCATAGCCCAGGTGACCCTCATAGCCCTGGTGACTCTCAAAGCCCAGGTGACTCTCATAGCCCAGGTGACCATCATAGCCCTGGTGACTCTCAAAACCCAGGTGACTCTCATAGCCCAGGTGACCCTCATAGCCCAGGTGGAGTCTCTGGGCCCAGTTAGGACGTTCATGGCAGAGATGAGGGTGTTTGCCACTCATAAAGCGACCTTGACACATCATGGGACCTTCTTTGCCAGTACCAAAATATGATAATAGGGTGTTCCCCTCTTTCATCTGGCAACAAAACAGCTGTTAAAGATGTTAAAACAGCAAACTGAAACCCTTTTTACAAGGAGTCGTGTCTACTTTAACCACAATGTTTGTGGTCAGACACGTTGAAGATTCTTAGCGCTCGTTATAAACATCTGAGCCTCAGCGCCAACCAAAGGTCCAGTTAGGGTATCGTTAGGGAACGGGAGAGAGAGATTGCGGACAATTCGGTTCATCGGTTTAAAATAAATTATTATGCTCACGATTCGCGAATCAACACGTGCATGTGAAGATTAGTTTGCGTTTTACAGCGGTCGTGTAATGATGAAAATAATCATGATGCTGCACTTCTATGCTCCCAGATTCATGCCTCCCGACCTTTATCGACCCGCACTGACCAGCGTGGTGAAGTATGGTCAAATTGCCCCCACGACCCGCACGGTGTGGGGAGGCCTTCATCCAGCAGTGGATTGACAAAAGGGCTGCCCTGTACTCATACAGTATAATATTAATAAAGAGTAAGAACTCGGATTTAGTTTTGACCAAAGAGAACCTCACTGACTCTCTCCCGGGAGGGTATTGTGTCTGAATATTTGGCTCAACCTATGACCACGCCGCATGTGGGAGGCAGACTGGACTACCTGGCACTTAACTAAACTTTTTATTTTACCAGGAAAGGCCCCACTGAGCTATGTAGCTCTTTCTTTCAGAAGCGACCTGGCTATCACAAATGGTAGCTCAACGAAGTGGCTTATCATCACGTGGAATTGAATAGCGGCCACACGATCTAAACGTGTGATTTGATTCTAAATGAGGAGGGAAAAACCGGAGGACCCAGAGAAAAATCCGCTCTAGCACCAGGAGGGAGACACCGCAAACACCCAATTAACAGGCGTCAGGGTCGGGATAGAACCCACGACTTCCGTGTATACCAGACGAGTTAGTTAACATCTCGCCACCGCTAGGAGGGGTCCGCACAGATGCGCTCACAAAACCCACTTGCTGCACTGCCATCATCTGGCCAACTCCGCAGCTCAATGCGTTTGAGAGATTGTTCAAGTCGGTGCCATTGACCGGCTCTCGGAGTACAGGCGTGTCCGTCACCCATTCTGGGCTGATGCTTCAGGTGGGTGATCTCAAAATTATCAACTCAACCCAAAAGGAGACACAAGCTGAGCCGGCCATTCGTGGCTGCCTCGTTTGTCCCCCCCCCCCCACACGATTTCTCTGTAACGGGCTGTTTGAAACAAAGGCAGATGACAAATGCATTTGTTCGAGACATACATCATGGAGCCGTGTTTACACAATCAAAGGATACTTGCCACTTATTTATTCTTTTTTTTGCTGGGTTTGTTATTTTTAAAAGAGAGAGAAGAAAAAAAAGCTGCGTGTTTACGGCCGGCATAACGGAAGGCCATTAATATGAGACAAGAATTGCTTTCGCGTCCAATTTCGCAGCCGCATGTCACAAACCAGCCGTACCAGGATTAATTTCAAAACAAGATTTGTGAAAAAAATACTGTACCTTACTTTTTTTTCTCCTGTAAAATCGCACGCGTGGTGGATAAATACGCCACGGCGTCACATCCCATACCACTGACATCAGGGACGCTGAATCAAATTTTATATATATTATTTTGTTGTGGGCCATATTGCTGGAATGTTATCACATTTGAGGTTAATGTCCATATTTTGCTTGTTTGAACCAATACTGCTGAAAAAAAATCACTGACAGAAAGGCCATGTGGCTGATGCGATGTGTGTATCTTTAGTCATTTTATATATATGTGGAGGAACATAAATGTCAAGGAGGCGTATCGTCTGCTGATTTACATCGCAACTCCTGAGGTTCGTCTGGAGACCTTCTGCATTTAAAGAGCTGGCTGTTATATATTTCCACACGATAAGCCACTTCATTGGGATATCGTTTGTGGAAAGGTCGCTCCTGAAAAAGAGCTGTTTAGCTCAGTGAGCCTTACCTGGTAAAAAAAAAATGTTAGATTCCTCTCCCTGCCTCCCCCCACAGACGTGACGTCAGGCAGCTCGCTGGACTGGGCCTACTCGCAGGGGGCACGCTACTCGTTTGCGCTGGAGCTGCGCGACACGGGCCGCTACGGCTTCCTGCTGCCCGAGCGCCAGATCGGCCCCACGTGCGCCGAGGCCATGAGGGCCGTGTCCATGATCGCCGCGGCCGCCCTGCGCAACTGCCGATAGTGAGCGTGGCGCAGCCCAGGGGATGTGACTGGTGGACTTTGCTTCGACTGGACTGGACCAGACTGAACCAAACCAGACTGGACCGGACTGAACTAAACCACGCTCTAGTGCACTACACCGGACTGAACTAGACCAAAACAGATTGGAGCATACTGGACTGGACTTTGTCGGCCTGGAATGAACTGGACATGACTGGACTGGACTTTATAGGGTGGGGATGGACTGTACTGGCAGCCTTGGCAGAATGGCCGGGCTCGCCAACTCAGGAGGAGCTCAGAGTGACGTCGCATCCATGCTGCTCTTCCAGATTCTCCGAGCGCAGCCCGTGCGTCCTTCAAGTTGGGGTGGACCCGAGTTCGGAGGCCGTGCCGTTACACTAGAATGGACTAGACTGGATTGAACTGAACTGGACTGGACTGGACTGAACTGGACTAGACTGAACTAGACTGGACTTATCTGGACTGGACTGAACTGGACTGGACTGAAGTGGACTAGACTGGACTGAACTGGACTAGACTGGACTGAACTGAACTGGACCAAGCAGGACTGGAACACATTGAACTGGACTGGACTTGAGCAGTCCGAGTGGACATATCATTTGAGAAGCAGGCGGAAATGACCAGGGCTTAATTTCAGTTGGGTCAGTTCGCATCGCCAACTCGGCAAACATTTCCGTAAAAATGCTCACCACACTTAGTGTACCTTTGGCTGCGGCTCCTAGTCATGCGCCGCCTGCTCCAGCTACCGGTGATGCCGAACATATTCAGTGAGAAATTAAGCCCTGGTAATGGCCAATTGACATTGCTACTTGGATGTGAGGTTCACAGTGGCCGTGTCTAAACACTGAGCCGACGTCACTGCGGTGTGAGACTTAAATTCGTGTTTCGGCCACCCCTGGTAAGTCCGCGTTTTTTTTTCCATAAGGGCTGATGGTCTCAGTCTGGTCGTCAGTGATTGCACACAAAAATCCACCGATGAAATTAGTTTTTTATTTAATTTGACGAAGCTACGCTTTTGGCGCTGAATAAAAAAAAGTCACGGGCCACTTGAGTTGCGGCATAAACCAGCGGGTGTAGCAGTGCCACCCAGAGTTGGAGCAAGAGGGAACTGTGGCCGGCAGGAGTTCTGTGATGTCCACATCTCGAGGGCCGATCCCTGGATTGCCGTGAGGCCATACTGCCTGTGGGAGGTCCACACAGACACTCGTTCGACGCACGGCATTGCTTACTCGCAGAGCTCACCCAGAAGGTCATCGGTGATACAAATGTCTAAATATTCCCTCTTGAAATTGGAACGACTTCAAAAGAATAACCTGATAGAGACAATGCCATTTGTGGGGCTTGTGTATAAACACGTTTTCACCTGTTGGCAAATAAAAACAAGTCTCTTGTCCAGTATAAGGATTTAAGCAGAGATGCATTGTGTGTGCTGTGTATGTGTGTACACATCAGTACTTGTATATGGGTTTGTCTTTGTAGTGTTGTCAATATGTTGTGTGTGGGTGTATATACAGTGAGGGAAAAGGTATTTGATCCCCTGCTGATTTTGTACGTTTGCCCACTGACAAAGAAATGATCAGTCTATAATTTTAATGGTAGGTTTATTTGAACAGTGAGAGACAGAATAACAACAACAAAATCCAGAAAAACGCATGTCAAAAATGTTATAAATTGATTTGCATTTGAATGAGGGAAATAAGTATTTGATCCCCTCTCAATCAGAAAGATTTCTGGCTCCCAGGTGTCTTTTATACAGGTAACGAGCTGAGATTAGGAGCACACTCTTAAAGGGAGTGCTCCTAATCTCAGCTTTGTTACCTGTATAAAAGACATCTGTTCACAGAAGCAATCAATCAGATTCCAAACTCTCCACCATGGCCAAGACCCAAAAGCTCTCCAAGGATGTCAGGGACAAGATTGTAGACCTACACAAGGCTGGAATGGGCTACAAGACCATCGCCAAGCACCTTGGTGAGAAGGTGACAACAGTTGGTGCGATTATTCGCAAATGGAAGAAACACAAAATAACTGTCAATCTCCCTCGGCCTGGGGCTCCATGCAAGATCTCACCTCCTGGAGTTGCAATGATCATGAGAACGGTGAGGAATCAGCCCAGAACTACATGGGAGGATCTTGTCAATGATCTCAAGGCAGCTGGGACCATAGTCACCAAGAAAACAGTTGGTAACACACTACGCTGTGAAGGACTGAAATCCTGCAGCGCCCGCAAGGTCCCCCTGCTCAAGAAAGCACATATACATGCCCGTTTGAAGTTTGACAATGAACATCTGAATGATTCAGAGGACAACTGGGTGAAAGTGTTGTGGTCAAATGAGACCAAAATGGAGCTCTTTGGCATCAACTCAACTCGCCGTGTTTGGAGGAGGAGGAATGCTGCCTATGACCCCAAGAACACCATCCCTACCATCAAACATGGCGGTGGAAACATTATGCTTTGGGGGTGTTTTTCTGCTAAGGGGACAGGACAACTTCACCGCATCAAAGGGACGATGGACGGGGCCATGTACCGTCAAATCTTGGGTGAGAACCTCCTTCCCTCAGCCAGGGCATTGAAAATGGGTCGTGGATGGGTATTCCAGCATGACAATGACCCAAAACACACGGCCAAGGCAACAAAGTAGTGGCTCAAGAAGAAGAACATTAAGGTCGTGGAGTGGCCTAGCCAGTCTCCAGACCTTAATCCCATAGAAAATCTGTGGAGGGAGCTAAAGGTTCGAGTTGCCAAACGTCAGCCTCGAAACCTTAATGACTTGGAGAATATCTGCAAAGAGGAGTGGGACCAAATCCCTCCTGAGATGTGTGCAAACCTGGTGGCCAACTACAAGAAACGTCTGACCTCTGTGAATGCCAACAAGGGTTTTGCCACCAAGTACTAAGTCATGTTTTGCAGAGGGGTCAAATACTTATTTCCCTCATTAAAATGCAAATCAATTTATAACATTTTTGACATGCGTTTTTCTGGATTTTGCTGTTGTTATTCTGTCTCTCACTGTTCAAATAAACCTACCATTAAAATTATAGACTGATCATTTCTTTGTCAGTGGACAAACATACAAAATCAGCAGGGGATCAAATACTTTTTTCCCTCACTGTATATGAACTAGTTGTTTGGGGGTGCCTGTGGCGCCCCCTCACAAAAGCATCTCGCCGTACGGATACAGAATCGCGTACGTCATGGGATCCATGTTGGGACTCAAGATATTGAGGTTGATGAACTGCTGATTGAGATTCTGTGGATTCCTCGGGTAGATGCGAATGTCACGCTCGACCATTGCAATTTCGTTTGATGTTGGTGCGTTGTATCGTCGTTGATCCGACTGACGATCACGGCTCAGCACCATGCTGACCAACGGAATTTCTTCTCCCGCTTGAAGTGCACGGTCAACTTCTCGTGCTTCCACTTTGCACATCAACTGGTAATTGTTGGCGAATCTGTTGTGCCGGCGGAAAAAGCGATCAATTTCGTCCAGGATAGGTTGACGACACTGAGCATTTGCGGTGTTCTGTTGACGGATCTCCGTTGCTTGCGTGCTGTCAAACATGTACAGCTGCGCGTACTACGGTGCTTGATTGTCAAGCGGCTGCAGGTGAGATGTGCGGTGATATGTCTGGCCGTGGACCTTGAAGACATATGGGCCTCGTCCTGGCAAATCGATGATCTCGCTCCCATCGACACGAAGGAAACTGCGCTGTTGTAGGATGGTATGTGGTCGCGGAAGTGAGCGTGATTCGGATGAGTTGGGTCAGTCGGCAATGCGTGGAGAAACTCAGGATATTCCAGCTCAACTCCGTTGATGACTTTTTGCTTTGGCAACTTTAATTTGCCCTTACGGCAGCACGAAGTGAATTTCCCATCAACAGGGCGTTCTGAAATGAAGTTCCTCGAGCCGCAGAACTGGCAGATGATGTTCATTGGACTGCAATTGTGCGCCTCTACTCGAGTGTCGTCGAAATGTATGGCTTCATTGACTCTCAACGACCGCTGCACGCCGCGACTGGGATTGCTCAGCAGTTTGTCGATTGCTGTAACATTGTTGAGATTGACAATGTGCTGCACACATTGTCTCGATCGACTCCTGACTTTGCTTGGCCAACCATCTTTGCTTTCGTTTGTTAGCCTTTCGATGCTTTTTTACGAGGGGATCTTCGTCCTCGTCCATAATTTGTTACAGGAAGTGAAAAAATCTTTAAGGAACATTATGAAGGCAAATAGACAGAGAAGAGTGGGCCGCCTCTCCTTGCTCTTCTCTCTCTCTCTTGCAAGCGTCCATCATATGCATCATACAAAGATAGATAAAGTAGTGCGCTTACCAACGTAATCGAACGTCTGTTCCTGCAACTTGTTGATTGTGTTAGCGTATGCGGGGAGAATGGGAAATTGTCGCCAAACAAATGGCAAAGTCGTGTCGGTGGGGGGCAAGTCGATTCTGGCCATCGATTCCTCGAATCAACAAAGAATCGCCTCGTTCTGCAGATCGATTCCAATGTAATCGAACGTCTGTCCGTGCGCCTCTGTCGTTCAAACCTACGCGCCCCCTGCATGAAAACGACGGGAAGTGCAGCGTTCATCACAGATAAAGCTAGGCGTTTATATATAAGAAGATGTGCATGTGTATGAGCAGCGGTCGTCTAGCTGTTAGAGACCCGAGTTCGATTCCCGTTCATGGCAAATACCAGTGACGATAATCTGAGCCAGCCGTGGACCTTCTGCTAGATAGACTCAGCTTCGAATGAGTATCTGGTGAGATGTGTAAAGACTACCACTATGGTGCTGGCCACCCACCACCCCGTGTGGCATGCCAGCCTTCAACAGTTTAGGCTATATGGGGAAACTTTGTACGTGTGTATAATGTTATAGTGGTACCTACACAATCCCGGTGACGCGGATTCAAGGTGATTCTGTGTGACCACGGTGAGAACTCGAGATACCATGATAGAGGCAAGTGGCCTGGCTTGTCACCAACATTACAAAAGGATAGGTAAACAAAGCACAGCAACTACGTAAATAGAAATCGCCACCAAAAAAAACTATGTAACTTGAGAAATCTAAAACATTTCACAACACACAAATCGATGTTAATATGTAATATGTCAATTAAATTCCTGACCATATCGAACTGTACGAGGCCACCCCTATGTCGAATCAGTCTTAAATGGGTACCTAGATATTGTGACACGAAGGTGGATCCGTTGGCATAAACTAAACAATTTTTTTTTATTTTACCACGTAATGCCCACTGAGCTACGTAGTAGCTATTTTTCAGAGGAACCTGGCCACAAATGATCGCTCAACGAAGTGTCTTATCACGTGGCATTATAGCAGCAGACAAATAATCTAAACGCATGTTGATTGTAAATGTGGAGAGAAAACCCCGGAAAAAAATCCACGGGACCACAGCGAGAGAGACACGCAAACTCAAAATATACAGGCATCAGGGTCGGGATCGAACCCACGGCCTCCGAAAAAACGAGGCGAGGTAGTTAACATCTCGCTACCGTGGTCCTGACCACACAACCCTGTCGTTCTCTACGCCGGCGTTAATAGGTGCTCGCTCAGAGCACTCGCCTGTGTGATGTGTAATTCTGCACAGTGGATCTGTGTGTGTGTGTGGGCATGGTAATAGTGCTGTGGATATGCATCATTACATCCATACATCGCAGGGAATTCTCTTTAAAAACACACACACAAGAAAGCAAACAAACTACAAAGGCGACCTTTACAATTCGCCGGGCCGGAAAATAAACACAATTACGGGCATTAGGCCGCGGTGCGCAGATAAGGTCGGCTGAGATCTGCCATGGGGAGAGACCCTGTGGAGTGAATGGGCACGGGGAGCCGCAGAGGACAGGGGACCAAGGTGTAAAGGAGAGCCGACACAAGGTTGCAGGGGCTTCGTCTTTTATTCCTTTCCTCCCATCCACACCTGTCCCCAGCCGTCCCAATCTCGTTCCTGCCAACCAACCCCTCTTCCCGCCTGCTCTCTCCCTTATATCTCCTCACCTGCTCCTCCCCCTTCTCCTGTCACCGTCCCACTCCCACTCCTATTGGTGGGAATCCCTCCCCTAACACCCCTACAAAGGCAAGAAACACCGGGGCGGGAACCAACGGCCCAGGGAATGGAGAGCCGGCGACGATTTACGGCACCGCCAAGTCGGAGGACCGGTCTCACGAAGGACAGACAGCTTCTATTGGCTTCCCACGAAGCAGCGCTGCACTCAGTTTGTCCACCCCTGATGAGAGAGGATGGGGCCAAGTCGACCCGCGAGCGTGATTTGAGCTCGCTGATGTGAGCGGTTGTGTGCGACGCACACCTTCAACAGTGGAGCTCACCGGAGGCATTACAGAAAGTCAGGGTTGACAGGTCGTTTGTAAATGTTGT